TTAAATGCTCAGGAATACAGTCATCCACACATTACCCTTATATCAGAGCAATGTAGAAGGTATCATTTTCTTTACATCTTCCTCTTTACACAGATTATGAGTTTCAGGTCAACAGCAACACAGTAAGAGTTAAAATGACCTCTACAGGAAAGGCAGAATTGAGGTTATGTGTCTGAATGATAGATGTTCCAAAGTCGGATCTAAGTAATTTTTAACTCACTATTATATATTTTTTATGCCTCTTTCCTCCCTAATAAATTCTATCAAGACAATCTTATGTTCTTTCTACTCCTACTTCCAGGATTCGAGGTTTATGGAAATGATGCACTGAGATTGAGCAGGCCAAGATCCTCAGAGATGACGTGAAACCTTACTTACCTCATTAGCGGCTCAATGGAAGCTTGGGCACCCAACAGAGATTTACAGAGAATCACAAAGAGGCTGTGTGCCACCTTGGGGAAAGCAGATTCCCAGAACCATTCCTTAGACCTGGAGAATCTGGGGACAGGTAACAAGCTAAGATGTACCAGGGGGCAGGGAAGTAACAAGGTAACCATTTCATCCATTCAAAACTCTGCAGTCTATGAGGTGCTATGGGAGACAGAGGAGGATCAGTCAGCAAAAATTTCTCCTTCATGGGGCTTATATCCTATTTGTTACCTAGATCCAGACTTCTCCTTGGTTTTCCTTAAGTAACACTACTATTTAACTATTATAGAATTTACGATTTACACTGGAATTCATAAACTCAAATGCCTAAAAGGCCAGCCATAAATCAAGTTGATTTAAGTCCACAGGACATGGTAATGTTTGGCAAATTCTGGTCTAAAAGTAATCAATTTTTTTTTTTTTAGTTAGTATTCTGGGGTAAGTGTCCATACCTGAAGACTTTATGGTCTAGATTTCTATAAACAGATTCAACTGCAGGTAAATGATTGCACACATAGTAAACATGACTCCTCCTATCTTTAGACCTTTTTTATGAAAATAAATTCACAAATTTATCCAATAAATTTATCCAAATTTATCCTGTGATCTATTTTTGATTAAACAAATAAACAAAACAAAAAAAAATTTAGTGAAAAAATATAAAAAGATGTCTAGAAAGCCTGGGTTCTAGTCTTCTTTTTGGTGACTTTCTATATGGTCTAGGACAAACCGTAATCTTCCAGAAACTCCTCTCAGGATTATTTTGAGATGCTAAGGAGATGTATGTGTAGGTGCTATATTCTGAGAATGCAGGGAGAGCGAGCTCCCTGGTGTCTTTTCTCATAAAGGCACCAACTCCATCACAAGAAACCCACTCTCTGACCTCATCTAAACCTAATTATCTCCCAAAGGCCCCATCTCCAAATACTATCAACATTGGGGGTTGGTGCTTCAACATATGAATTTTGGGAAGACACAATTCAGTTCATGACAGTAGTTCAGCATGTCTCTGATAGGTTGGGTAGAAGAACACAACTACTTTCCTCAGGAAGTTAACAGAGAAGGGATTAAAGAAGATTCTTTGAGTTGGTATAGTATATCAAAGGAAGGAAGATTACAGCAAGTGAGTTTTCTGCTGGAGATCCTGATGATCACTTCAGGAAGGAGACAGATGGGCGCCGGCTGAATAGTTTCTCCCCTGTGGACAGAAACTCCATAAAATCAGGATGACTGAGGAAGCTGGGACCTACCTAGATAAGAGTTAAAGATCCCATATCCTCTTTCTCGAAGTCAAGGAGACGTCTGTGACTACACATGTGCAGAAAGGCTCTTTGGAGGTCAAAAAGGGAGGGGCCACTACCCCATTGTAAGTGATGTCAACTACCCATAGGCCTCTTTGCTAGAATTCAGCTTGGCTAAGAGATGCACTTGGACGCATGGGAGGACCCTGAGATATATACCAAATACAAGACTCAGAACCAGGAAAAGCAAGATAATTAGCCAACGGAAATCCAGAAGAAATGCCCCATAAAAGTGCTTCAAACCACCACGAGGGCATGACTCTCTGAGCCCACCCGTGTGTCCATGTACCCTTTTCCTCCTAGTAAACACTTCACTTGTTTCACCACTTTCCGTTTCCATGTGGAAATTCATTTGTACACAGCTGACAGGACAGGGCCTTGCCACTGGCTCTGCTGGTCTAGTGGCAGGATTCGCTCTAGTGCTGCCTTGTAGCAGCACTCTCTGCTGCCCAACCTCCATCTCTGGCCAGGAATGGAGATCCTGCCTCAAGTTGCTGCAGGCTGAGACCACCCGAGATCAATACGACACTTCAAATTATTTGAAGTAATGAAAACATGAATAGAACTTTTATAAAACACTATGAGAAAGACTCAGGATTCTTCAAAGAACTTTGAAACAATTTTAGAAAACAGATGCAGGCTACATTTCACTCGTTCTCTTTGAAACAGAACTTTGTGACAGTCAGGGCTAGTGGTGGAAGCTAGACTGAGGAAAGATAAATGTAATATGGAATTCTGGCAAAGACAAGAGAGAATTAACTATCTGCCAGGCACTCTTTTCATGTCTAGACTCAAATGTTTAACGGGTTTAGAAGTCATTAAAACAGCCAGACGGGCTGTAGCTTGAGCAAGATACACAGTAAGGTCATTCAGATGTTGAAGGGCCTTTCCAGAGGGTGTACTCTGCCTCTTCTACAAAGATACGACACTTTCTGGAGATTAAGTGCTGCTTCTAGAAGAGGATGATGACTCTGTTCTAACATGACCAAGAGAAAAGAGGCCCCATTGGACCAGCTTCAAAAGCCCAGAAAGAAGAAATGAAATGATTAAGCTGACATCATTCATTCAAATGAACTCGAGAGAGGTCACCAGAGCTGTAAAAGTAGGGAAGAGGAGTAAACAAATGCATCAGGGAGAAAGTGGTTAAAACAACAACAACAACAACAATAAAAGTAGAGAAGCAAAGGAACTAGGTATCCAGCAAGCAGGAGAGAGAGCTCCCTGCTGAGAAACAGGATGTGAGATTTATTTGAGTTCCTCAGAAAAGGAAAGGAACAAGAGACCATTTCAGGAAATTAAAGGAAGAAAGAGTGAAGAAGAAAACAAATCCACTGAGAAATCAATAAGAAATAGAAAATCAATACTACTAGTTGGCACTAGAACAGATCTTTTCAACTTAAAAACATATTGTCAAGTATATTACAGTTACCAGCACAGCTCCTTGCATATATAAGGTGTACACTATTTGTGGAGTGAAAGAATATTCTGAAATCCCCATAACAACCCTGTAACCAGGGAGTACTGAACTCAAAGATTAACATACTGAAATATGACAAAATACATACATGTAATATAAAAAGAATAACATCTAGAATATGGGAGAGACAAACTAGCTAAAATTTAGAACTGGGACAAACTTTTAGATTTGTGAAGCACCTGAAATTAAACGAAAAGTTTGTTTACATTTTTCTTGTGAGAGGCATTAGAGCTTTTAAAAAGAATTTCTAAAAAAAAGAATTTCTATGTGAGTTTAGTAAGAATTTCGGGGGGGGGGGTTCAGGATGGGAGCAACACCTGTATACCTGTGGCTGATTCATGTTGATGTATGGCAAAAACCATCACAATATTGTAAAGTAATTATTCTATTAAAATAAATTAATTAAAAAAGAATTTCAGTGTAAGTTTACGAGCAACTGATGTACTTATTATTAGTTTAATTATTACTTTGCACTCAGAAAAGATAGGTGGGAATTTATACACATGTATATATTCTTACAATTAGTTTAAGAAGTTCGAATAAAAATGAGTGCAAAACCACTAAACAAAATTTCATAGCTAGATTATAGTTTTATGTGTATATACATCTGAATTAACTTTTGGACACATCTAATTACAAAGTAAACAAAATCTCAACAAAGATTCAGACCAACACTACTGCTTTGTTATTCTCTTTATATCCTACTCCCCACATGCCATCCCTAACAATTTTTAGATACATTCCGTCATTCATGTTCCTAATACTGCCTAGCAGTTATGAAAACACCAAGGACACTTCGGGCTCTAAATCTGGTTTTTCAATAAATGTTAAAGACACTTTTACATTGAATACATTCACTAGTAGTAATTCTTTAAACTGGAGAGTAAGCAAAATACACTATTTCAGAAAAGTTACACATTCTAATGGAAAGAACTAGACAGACATACACCACAGCAATTCTATATAAAGCTCATGAAAGCTTCCAACTTGAAACTCCCTGCGGGAAATCTACAAGAAACAAAACTGAAACAGACAACACCGGTGCCCTGCCCAACCACTTACTGAAGCTTCAACTACTTGGCATTGAATTTTAAGGCATTATTACGTTTCTGTAATTATGAAAACAAACGTGAGGACACATATTTGTTACTGTTACTTAACTGGCTCTCCTTGCCTTTAAACTAGGCAGAGAACTGAAAACCACTAAAAGAATTACTCTGGTGTGTTCTTTAAAAAGTTATTTTGCATTATTACCAAAAAACCCCAGACATGAAATCAAATCAGCCCTAAGACGAAGCAGAAACACTGGGCGGGGGAATCTGTTTAAGAGCAGTCTTTGAACCGCTGAACATTTCGGGATCAGGTATACTACTTTTCCTTCTTTCAGAGTTAGGCCTTGGGCGGGGGCGGGGGGGGGGCGGTGGTCAAGCTTAAACAGCTGTAAGAAAGGCTGGACAATAAAATCAGAGGTCATTTAAAAATAGCCTGGAACGGTGAAAACCTATAGAGAAGCATCAAGGTCAAAACAGTATTAAGGCTTGGGCAGATAGCTTTCTCTGGGATAGGTACTGGGAGATCTCAAACGACACGAATGGGGGCTGCAAGGAGAGGGAGTAGCGAGTAAGTCAGGGGATGAAAGAAAAAAAACCCGGCAGGCCGCGTAAAAGACGGAGAAGGGAGGCCGAGCCGGAGCAGGGACGGGTGGGGGAGGTCTGGCGGAGGAGGAGGCGGAGGAAGAGGAGGGGGCCCGGCCCCGCCCCGGGGAGGCCCGAGAGCCCTCCCGCCCCCCTTACCAGAGGGAGCAGGAAGCCCCAGAGCAGAGCGGCCGCGGCGCGGGGCAGCGGCGGCTGCCGACCCATCGAACTGACGGGGGGGCGCCGGGCGGCGCGTGCAGGCTCAGCGGGGCAGGCTCCGGGGCCCGTCGCGGCGCTGCCTCGGTGGCCGGGCGGGACAGGGTCGGACCGCGGCGCTTGACTGGGGCCGCCGCGGCTGCTGGAGCCGCCGCTGCGGCGCCGACTTCCTCTTCCGGCCCCGCCCGGAGGACGCGGAAACCCCCACGGGCCATGTGGAGTGCGGGGCGGCGCGCGCCTCCCGCCAGGCTCCCGGAGCTTCCCGACGCTGGCGGCCGCAGGCGGCGGGTCTGGGCGTGTCTCTCTCCAGCTGCCTGACCTGAACTGTCCCCAAGTCCTGGCAGGCGAAGGGGCTTTTTCAAGGCCTTCTTCTTTGAAGCCGCGGAGCGTCTGTTCTCTTCCCCAGTAACTACCCAGGTGTTCGAGCCAGAATCCTACAAGCTCTGAGTCTTCTCATCTGCTCTCCAGCAGTCCTAGGCACGCTCATGCTATGTCCCAAATCGGGTCACCTTCTCCCGAATCGCTGTCATCTAGGCCACTGATGTTTCTCTCCTCCAAACTGGTTTCAGTTTCCACTCCCCACAGACCATTATCCACCCAGCTGTCCAGGAGAGATCTTTTTGAAAATGTAAATCAGATCGTGTCACTCCTAACCACACTTGGAACAAAATCAAAACTCTACTCTGGACGACGATTATATAACATCGTCCTTGCCTTCTGTGACCCCATCTTCACGATTTTTCCCATGCTTGCTTTAAGCCGCGTGGGCCCCCTTTGTTTCTTCTGGTCTTTGTACTGGTAGTTCTCCCTGCTGGAATGCTTTTCTCTCTAAATACGCAGCACTCTGGCATTCACTTAGCAGCTTAAATGTCATTTTCTTAGTGGGAACTTATTGACATAATCTAAAGTAGCCACCCAGTCACTGTCATATCACATGATTTATTTGAATTCTCTGCATAGCACTTTTCACTCTTGCATTCTCTTATTTACCTCTTCATTTATTTATGATATTGATTCCCATTTGATAGAAAGGAGTATCTTTGATTTGTTCACTCCTCTATCCATTACAACATTTGGCATAAAGGTGGTCCTCAGATATTTGTTGGATGAGTATTCAATACCAAACACTGAATACAATGCTGTCCCTGCCATCCCACAGCTCAGGGTTTAGGAAAGAACAGAGATGTGTGAGCAAATAGTTCAAGGTGACTAATGACTCTTTTGTTTGCACAAGATGCTATGGGAGTATCAAAGGAACACTTAAAGGAGTGCCAGGAAAAAATTCAACTTAAGCTGAGTCTAGAAGGCTGAGTTAATTTTAGCCAGGCAATGGGTAGGGGAAGGGGGAGACTTCCAGGAAGAGTGAACCATTAGTGTCAAAGCGAAAGGTGACATTGGAGGAACTGCAAAACTCAGGCTTGGCTGAAGTTATGAGTGATGATAGATGAAGTGAGAGAAGAAGGCAGAGGCCAAATCACAAATAGATGGGAGAATCCTGCTTGGAATTTTAGGCTTCAGCTAGTTGGTGGTGGAAAGTGCAGTGATGGACAATTTCTGTTTAAAAGCTCACTGTGGTGGCAGACAGAGTGGCAGATAGGATTGAAACAGGGCAATACAGAAGCCAGGAGAACTGTTAGACAACAGAGTAGCCTGGCAGGCTACAGTGCATGGGATCACAGGAGTCGGACACGACTTAGCAACTAAACCAACACCACCACCACCACCAGTAACCTAACCCAAGCAGGAGTAGTGAGGGCCTGAACTGAGACAGAAGTGGCAGAAGAAATGGAAAGGAGAACGAGGTGGTGGATCCAAAGACTTGTGGCAGGATTTGGTATAACTGAGGGGACATGGGAGATGAGGAGAGGGATGGTTCTCTGGACCCTGCCCTGGGTCTTTTATTGAGATGATCATCACAAGAGATGGAAGAGACGGGATGGGAGAGGAGGAAGAGATAATTTTGAACTTGAGTTTGAAATGTTTATAGGACATTCTATTGCAAATGTCTGTAGGTCTGAGACTTAGTGGTACAGTGAGGCCAGAACTCAAGTCTCCTGTCTGTTAATCTGAATCTCTTCCCATTTTCTAGCTGCCTAGGGCAAGTCAAAGTTCCCTTTTGCAAAATGACTGTGATTAGATGACTTCATCTCTAAATATTCCCTTCTGCCCATAATGGCCCATTGCCTAGTGAATCTCCAGGGTGGCTCCTCCGGCTGTCTCAAAATCTCTGGTTTTCCTGTCTGGAGTTACACCATTTTTCTCTCCTCTCAGTTGGGGAAAATTTTGTGCCTGCAGTCAAAGAACCTGTGGTATAGGCTAGTTCTTGTGCAGTCTCTCTTTACCTGCTTTAGTTTTTTTCAGCTGAAAGATATGGACAGTAAAACCTGTTCTGTCTCATATGAGTATTGTAAAAATTACAGGATTTGTAATTTGGATGTAATTACTCCATTTTTTTTTAAATAAAAAGGTAGGGAGAGGAGGAGAAAAAAATAGAAGGCTGTGCTATTGCAGTGTTAGCACTGTTTGTCATAATTCTGCTAGAATTTTTTTCTCATTGGTCAAAGTCCCTGTGCATGATGAAGGAAAATGGAAGGGTTAATGGAAATTTTAAGAGTTTAATAACTTTACTATTGGGATGACTGTTAAAAGATTTAGAGTATACCTCTGTTACACAGTTAACTTCCTTGGAAGTGTCAGGTAGGGTTAAAGTTATGTTGGATAATTTTTAGTCAGTATTTTTCTCCTCTAAATAAACTATGTATAAAAACTCATTATGGAAAACAAATATCATTAATTAAAGATTGTTTTAATTTCTAAATATATTGAATTAATGAAATTTTTTTCCCAGTGATAAAAGATAGAATGCTATTGGTCGTCAGAATCTTTCTGTGTTCTAGGAAATGGGCAGGAACTATAGGCCCCATTTTACAAATGTGCTAGGTGAAGCAAAGGAGGAGGAGCTAACACTGTCTCCTACCCTAGTTCACTAGAGATCATTCATACAACCTGTAATTTCCCGGTACTTCCACAGTGTTTTTTACTCAGAGGACATTGATGAAGTTTTGGTCAAGAGCCCCAAAGACTTCCTTGGGCAATCTAGATCATTGCTATAGTATAGAGCAATGATTCTCAGGGTTTCCCTGTGGCTCAGATGGTAAAGAACCTCCCTGCAATGCAGAAAACCCGGGTTGGATCTCTGGATCAGAAAGATCCCCTGGAGAAGGAAATGGCAATTCACTCCAGTATTCTTGCCTGGAGATTTTCATGGACAGAGAAGCCTGGTGGGCTACAGTCAATGGGGCCGCAAACAATCTGACACAACTGAGCGACTAACACACACACACAGTGATTCTCAATCTTGATTATTTTTATCAGAATCACACAGGAGAGCTTTAAAGGATATTGATGTCTGAGTCCCACGACTCCCCTTACCCCATGCAGATCTTATATTTAATTGGTCTGGATGTAGTCTGGGTATCATAATTTTTAAAACTCCTCAGGTGGTTCTAATATGAATATAAGGTTGAGAAGCTTTGGCTTATTCGGTGATTTTAAAACATGGCCTCTTGAACACTTGAGGCAGTATCAACTTGAACACAGTATCAACACTACCTGGGAACTGTGAGAAATGTGAATTCATTCAGACCTGCAGAATCAGAAACTCTGAGAGAAGGGCCTAGCACTCTGTGTTTTAATAAGCACCCTAAGCAATTCTGATGTATGTTGAAGTTTGAGAATTATTGGTTATGGAGCAACACCCCTTAAAGCTGCCTGCATATTAGAATCAGATGTAAAGTTAAAAAGCAAACCCTGTGCTCCAATACTAATCAAACTGAAAGAAAAAATAGACACATCCATGATTATTGCTAAAGATTTCAACTCTTCTCTCTCAATAATTGAAAGAACAAGTGGGCAGAAAATCAGTAAATACAGAAGACTTGGTCAACATTATCAGCCAACTTGACCTAATTGGCATTTATAGAACACTCCACCCAACATATGCATAATACATATGATTTTCAAGTCTACATGGGACCATTTGGTCATAAAACAAATCTCAATAAAGTTCCAAATAATCCAAGTATGTTCTTTGCCTAGACAGAATTAGATTCAGTTCAGTTCAGTCGCTCAGTTGTGTCCAACTCTTTGCGACCCCATGAATTGCAGCACGCCAGGCCTCCCTGTCCATCACCAACTCCCGGAGTTTACCCAAAACTCATGTCCATTGAGTCAGTGATGCCATCCAGCCATCTCATCCTTTGTCATCCCCTTCTCCTCCTGCCCCTCATCCCCCCCAGCATCAGAGTCTTTTCCAATGAGTCAACTCTTTGCATGAGGTGGCCAAATATTGAAGTTTCAGCTCCAACATCAGTCCTTCCAATGAACACCCAGGACTGATCTCCTTTAGGATGGACTGGTTGGATCTTCTTGCAGTCCAAGGGACTCTCAAGAGTCTTCTTCAACACCACTGTTCAAAAGCATCAGTTCTTTGGCACTCAGCTTTCTTCACAGTCCAACTCTCACATCCATACATGACCATTGGAAAAACCATAGCCTTGACTACACAGACCTTTGTTGGCAAAGTAATGTCTCTGCTTTTTAATATGCTATCTAGGTTGGTCATAACTTTCCTTCCAAGGAGTAAGCGTCTTTTAATTTCATGGCTGCAGTCACCATCTGCAGTGATTTGGGAGCCCCCAAAAATAAAGTCTGACACTGTTTCCACTTTTTCCCCATCTGTTTCCCATGAAGCGATGGGACCAGATGCCATGATCTTAGTTTTCTGAATGTTGAGCTTTAAGCCAACTTTTTCACTCTCCTCTTTCACTTTCATCAAGAGACTTTTTAGTTCCTCTTCACTTTATGCCATAACGGTGGTGTCGTCTGCATATCTGAGGTTACTGATATTTCTCCTGGCAATCTTGATTCCAGCTTGTGCTTCTTCCAGCCCAACATTTCTCATGATGTACTCTGCATGTAAGTTAAATAAGCAGGATGACAATATACAG